AAGCGTTTACCTGGGCCGCGTGTTGTTATATACATCCATGTTTGCGTGTGTGAGTGAGTAAGCGTGAGCGCGCATCTCTTCTATTCTTTTTTCTTACGTTTCGTATTTACGCATTCCTCCCTACTTTGGTTTTCGAATTTGTGTATTTCATTGGTCCGCAACAGTGATGCCAGATTGTGGTAATTTCCCTATTTGAGGGATATTTTGCAACAAAAATTATTAAAAGAAAAAGGGACATTTCTAATAAAGAGGGACTTTCATTTAACACAATTAGCGATGGATGATTGATCGAAATTCAAGAATATTCGATTCTCTTACGAAATTAATCATTCTGAGTATGTGATGTGCAGTAAAATTATGTATAAGTATTAAATAAGGGCATAATTGAACATTTTCTCACGTTAACCAATTCAAGCGCTGAGTACGAAAGAATATTTCGACTGCTGAGTGGAAGATCGACCTATCTCGGCAGCCAGTTCAAAAACGCCCTATCTCAAAAAAGTTTTCAAGAACGCCCTATTTCAGAATTTTATTGAAAATTACACTATTACACTATCTCAGAATTTGGTTGAAGAACGCCCTATTTCAGAATTCGTTTCAAAAATAGGGCGCTCTTCAACCAAATTCTGAAATAGGACGTTTTTGAAAATTTTTTTGAGATAGGGCGTTTTCGAACTGGCTGCCGAGATAGGTCGATCTGCCACTCAGCAGTCGATTTTTAGTTGTAACAATGATAGTTTTAAGAATTTCCAGTAAGTATTCAACAACAAAAAACACAAATGTATGTATGCATATACATTCATACTTATCGGTACCTCAATATAGAAAGTTTCTTTAAAATCTGGGGTTTTTATAAGCACTGAAACTAATTTATGAATGTAGTTGATGTAATTAAATTCTTTCATGCCTTTAGTGGGTAATCTACCGACCTTTGAATTAATATTATATGAAAGAATATTATATGTGTATCGATGTTTACTATATATGTATATGTTTTGAATTCCGTGGAACTTTTGTGGGATAAATTTTTAAGATACATGTAATTGAGGGATTTTCCCAATATTCGTGGGCAATTTAACAGTGAATGTCTGGCATCACTGGACTGCAACAGTCTGAACGGTTGGTAGTAAAGTGGTGAGAGATTGGACAGCAGCGTTGCCGTTTTGTGGGTAATTCTCCAAATCGGGAGAAATTATAATTTTTGTGGGTAATGTTTGGGGAACGATATGAAAAAATCATAATCGCTTACACAATGCAAATCATTTACTACTGAAATATGTAGTATGTTTTGAATTCGTTGCGAATTTTGTGGCATAAATTTTTAAGAAGTGGCTAATTGAGGGATTTTTTCCGATTTTCGTTGGATTTTTAACAGAATATCTGGCATCACTGAGCTGAAGTAGACTTGTGTATACTAAATGCAAATATGCGAACAGGCTCAGTTTTTCTTTGTGCTTCTGGTACTCGGGTGTGAATTTCGCTTCGGACTTCAAAAAAACTACAAACTATTAGTGAAAATAATTACAATAAACTTTTTTTAAGTGAATAAAGAATATTGATAGAAAGAAATTGGCTTGGTAGGTAAAAATACATATAAATATTTTCTATACGATTTAGAATTTGTGACTTTCTCTATTATGTGTATACGTATGCCTAAATAGCTTCCGAGGCATAAGATTCGAAAAATATGCCAACACATATGAATGTTACTCTGATATTTGTTCTGTATGGCTTTTTTGATAAATTGCAGCATAAATTATGTACCTACTCTAAAATCGGATACGTACTCACAAATTTTTTTTACCTTCATAAACCTTCGACATAACTTGTCTCGCCTCCGTCGATATATATATATATGTATATAAACATGTATGCGGCTGAGTGTATGTTGAAACTAGCCCTTTCCTTTTTAACGATGTAAATTGGCAATTCCTCCATTGCACCGTTTTTGTAACTTCTTGCATTACCACCTTCTGATGCGTTTTTTTTTGTATTGTAGCTAAAATTAAATGTCAACTTAGAACTGCCGATTATAAAAAGTGAAGCGATATAAGCAAAATTACATGAAATAAGTATACATTGTAATGACATCCCCGGCGTTTATATGGTGTATACACCGCGAATAAAAGGCAAAAAGGAATCGATGTGTAGTATAAGCATGTAGTGCATATGTATGTGTGTACATAACAACCACCGTCAGTGATCCACCAGAGCAATAGCAATGCTTGGACCTAATAGTGTGCACATGTGTAGAGAAATATTAAAGAGTCGAAATTAAGTACAAATTGTGTATGTACAACATATGTATGTTATTCTTATAAATAATCTACATACATACATATGCATGTATACATACGTACATAAATTAATTAATTTTGGAAGAGGTCGAAATTTTATTTCAATCTAGGTCCACATTACATCTAATTTTTAAAGACGTGGGAGAGATGTCCGTTGATGGCGGGCTCAATAAGAAAACCGGTCGAATTTCGTACATACATATGTATGTACATAGTAGGTGCATTTGAACGCATTATTTACTGGCACCCAACAAAAAAGTCATTGACAGCTTTTTGATGGCATGGCTTGGAAAAAGAGAGAAAGAGATAGCAAGAAAATGTTAAAAAAAAACGAAAAAATTAAATGAGAAAAGGAATGAAATAAAGAAAAGAGGGAAAACAAGTGTTGCCACTTATTGTTGCAATTTATTCTCCCGCGTTTATTTTAACCCGTGTATGGGGATGCTCGATACGCTTTGATGTAGTGCTGGAAAAACATCGATGTTCTTGGGGAGCAACATCGATATATCGATGCATCGACCTTTTTAAATGGCGAATTTTTTTAAATGAATTCATTAACGCAGATATACAAACCATCTTAATCTGAGATTGTTTTATAATTACAGATTAACGAGGGTCGAATTTTGTATGGCTAATCTCTTTTTCTATTTATAGATTAGGGAGTTAAGCTCGAAAATGAGGATAATCTACTTATATTAAAATCAATCAATTTTATTCGGAATTAAACATTCTAAGAGACTAATTTCTTTGGAAATTTTGGCAAAAAATGTTGTAGAAGTGGAAAAAACAAAAAAAATGGTCTGAATTTCAGATTTATGTATGTATTCCAAAAATGTTCGATATATTTACAATGAACATAAACTTCTTATATAAAAACTTAACACTGGTTAAAAAATAATAACCCAGCTAAAAATTAATTATTTAGTGCCGGTAGTCATGCGAAAAAGATTTCATGAATTACTCGGTCAGCTCTGCGACCTGACAAGGTCACTAAAAAAGTTCGTGCATTTTTTTATTTTTATTTTGTAACACCGTGATGTTTTAATTTTATTTTTTTGCTTTATTTTGCAGATGATATTTCACCAGAAACATGTAAGCCTAAAGGACGTGTAATACTTTGGACACATAACTGGGAAAATAAGTAGGTTCAATTACTTGCCTGATACAATCGTAAAACTGGAGTTTTAAACACGTGAAATAAAATATATAGAATTGAAGAAGTGAAAATCTAAAATTTAAATTCGAACAGAAAGACATTAGATATAAGATGTTCTCGTTCCACAAACCACGAGTGTATCGCTCGGCTGAAGGATGTTGTATTTGCCGTGCTAAGTCGAGCAGTTCACGTTTCACCGATTCGCGCAAATATGAACAAGATTCCATGAAATGCTTCGATCTGAAGTATCCCCGACACGGAGAGATTTGCAATGCGTGCGTGTTGTTGGTGAAACGTTTCAAACGTCTGCCCATAGGCAGTACTCGGCATTGGGGACATGTAAGTTGAAATTGTACACATATCGCACACTTGCCGCAAGAGTATCATATTCCAAAAAAAAAACAAAAAAAATCAAAAACTCGCGAAAACCAGCTGTAAAATTTTGAACATATTTTGTTCTAGCAAGCTACTGGTAATCGGTACAGCTATGAAACACACATAAAACATAGAAGAACAGGTAGTGGTAACTCAATTATGGCCCTATTATATATGGCAGTTGATAGGCGATGGGAAACCATGTAGTAAAATTTGCATTACGTATGGCAACTGGCTACTGACTGCCGGCTATTGAATCTAGTACCGCAATTTTCTGTTTCCCGATTATGACGATTTTGTATTTTATTGTTAAACACATTGGGGCAAAGTTGTCAATTACTTCGAAACGTACATGTCAAAAAAGTAAATTCAGATGTTGTCTGCACATTTCTGTATAATGAGATTAATCGCTATGAATAACACATAGTACGAGACTGGTAGCCAGCAGCTAGGCACCAGTCACCATACATATACATAATAGGGCCATTATTTATTATTTTTTTTTGTGTATGACACTCTTATAGCAAATGTGTGATATGTATACATGTACGTTAATACTTTCCAGATACTAAGTCGTTATGTTGCATTATCTTTTTGAAACTTAGAGCTTTGTTTTTCAATACATTTTTTTTCATTGATTATTTCCCCCAATTAACATAAAAAAATTTTGTGTTTAAAATGGCAGGTTGTTGACGCACGAGCCGGACCAGGCACAAAGTCCATATCAAAACATAAGAAGAGCCGTGACGATGCTGAAAATACATCAAATAATACAATAAGTAACAATACAAACTCCCGGCGTACACATAGCTCAAAATCGCTTATACCCGAAAAATTTTCAAAAATCTTTAAAAAGAGTAAGAAAAATAAATTGAATGTGGTGGTGCCCAATACTGATAAGAAAACTGGCACACGTCGAACCTCCATAACCAGTTTAAAAACATGGGGTGACCAAAATTCGTTGTCCCACACACCCGATTCAGTAGATAGTGACTACGAAGATATCGGTGAAGGTGGGGAGGCTTGCGAAGTCAGCCAAATAGGCAATAGCTCAACTGTGCAATTTCAAACACAAACTCGCGCGTCTTCGTATCGTGCCTGCCGGAAGAGGACCAGCAGCGGCAATACCTCTATTAATATAATTTCTTTTCGGAGAAGTCTTAAAATCGGTAGTAAACGGCGAAAATGCATGCCACCCATGCGGAATCGGTCCACAATGAAGATTTTCAACGATAAAATGCAATTCTTCGATGAATCAGAATGGCAGGAGCGCAAGTCATGTTGCGGTATGGTGTATGTGTGCCCAGAATTAACTGGAACAATATTAATCGATATGGAGAACTTCAAAGCTTGTCCAGAGCACCAACGTCCGCGAGGTGTAGATGTTGCGGGTAGCAAAACAGCTAAGGAGCAGCAACCGGTGGCTCCGCAAAAGACAATCATCGCAACTTTGCCCGCAGTGGTACAAATATCAGCGCCATCAGTTGCTAGCGTTTGCCTTCCACCACTACCCACTGCAGTGCCTGTTTTGAATCCGAATCCTACTCCAGTATTGAAGAAGCATCACCTTTTCTTCAAAAGGCAGTCTGAATGCTTTCCTCAAGTAGATCTCCCTGTGAATAATAACATAGTAATTTCTTCGAATAAGACTGAGTCCCTGGCAGCAATAACAACTACTCCGGTTATAATCAAAAGCAGTACCAACATCACCAACCATAAAACTACAATACCAACCATACCACATACATCTGCAATAAATAATGCAAATAACCCATCTACTTCCGTTTCCACACCGCTAGCATTAGCTGTTAATACTACGAATATGCCTGCCATATCGAGCATTTCCCCGTCTAGTTCCACGCCTATGAGCGGGCAAATGCCGCGACATTCTACCGCCAAAGTAACAACAATATCCCCGCCTTTGCCCGCGGCAACAAATATGGCTAGCGGAAATAGGCTATTGCATAAAATCAAGTCAGGAAAAATATTCAAGCAATCTCTGGACAAAATAGGTGTTATGACAGGCACTGGAGCAGTTTCTCCTTCGGCTGTTGAGCGAATCAAAGCGGGCGATTTGCAGGAGTTAAAACCTGTAATCCGCAATGTGCCAAAATCGTATGTTATTACGAAACCGACGAGTGGTGCTGGTCAACAGTGCACACAATATTACCCTCCGGTTGGCGCGTCACCAACATCGACATGCTCTAATTCTTCGGTCATTTCGTCAACATTGTCATCAGCAGCGCCAAAGTTTAGCGACAACTCGTCAGATTCGGGTTTCGATGAAAATCTGCAGGATCGAAAATCTGCCAGTCCTTTGGTAAGTTGAACTTTGTTTTTCATCCATGTTCCAGAAACACATCTTGGTTAATGTCGATTTTAACATACCCACATTTCGATTCAATCTTTAAATGAATCAAATTGTATTTTGTTCTCGTACTTCGCGGGAACCCTTTAAGCATAATTGTGCTGCTATATAAGATATTGACTGTTCCGGTTTCAGATTGAGGAACATATACGGAGTGGAAGAAGGGGGCAAACGCGTTACAAATAGTTTGAACGCCGGTCGAGGATTCCCCCAAATAATGCACCAGAGGAAGGAATTCCAGGGTTTTTCTTTTTGCTATTTATAAACTGCCAAAACCGTTTACTATTTAGGCCCTTATTATGAGTTGCGTTCGATTTTCGATCTTCGCTGGTTATCGTGAAACCAAACGCAAAATCATAGTTTTCTAAAACTTCCCTACATCATCGAAAGCAAAAATCTGTTTGACAGAAAATTCGATACAACTCATAAGTTGCGTCCCAGCAGCAGTACGAATAGCTGGAAATTACAGGATTTTGCAGGAAGCTGTTCCCGCACGACACCTTACACAAGGTTTATTAAAGGCGAAAACAGCTGTTCCTGTAAATCCTGCAAAACCTGCTATTCGTACTGCTGCTGGGACGCAACTATAATAACGGCCAATACTAAGTATGGGTGTGTTCGAGCTACGTAATAGTTGCGATCCCGTACGAGTCCGGACTAGTCAGAATCAGTTAGATTTTACTGGAAATCGATCCCGTACTCGGTTCTCTGACAATTGAGAGGACAAAAAAGAGAGTAAAAAAGATCCTCTCTCTGTCAGAAGTTACCAGCTTTAGTCCGCAGATTTTTTGCTGGCAAGTTTTGGTAAATGTGTCAAACGATCAGCTGTAGCGTGTTTGGCAACCAAATTGTAAACAAAAGAAAAGTGCACTCTGCTAATGCATGTTGAAAAGTATTTATGGGTCGATTACGGATGGAAACCGAACTTCAGTTGCAACTGATAGCTGGCAACTGGGCGGCTGTCCAGAAGTACTCACTTAGACGCAGGGTCCTTTGTGATACCGCATGACGGTTTTTTAATTATCCCTGTCCCCTGTAAACCACTTGGTGCTTAGCAAGATTGTGCAAAGGCTTCTGACGTCCACCTCTTAGAGGTCATCGTGATCGTCAAAGAAATAGCTCCCGAGAGCTTTTGCTCTTCGTTTTAACAGAGCGGGGCAATGACAGAGAAGATGTGGGATGGTTTCCTCTTCGTCTACATCCATACAGCTTCTGCAGTAGTCGTTCCAGCGTGCGCCCAGCCTAGCTGCGTGCAATCCGATCAGACAATATCCGGTGAGAACTCCAGTCACTATGCGAATATCTTGCCTCCTTAGACTAAGTAGAGACTTTGTGCGTGTTGAGTGCGGAGTGTTTTGTCGGTTCCATTCGCCACTTCTACGAATTTTTCACTTAGTAGATATTTGCGGGTCTGAAGAGGGATTCCGAGAGTATCCCTTATGTCTGTATCAGGCAATGTCGTTCCATGACGCGCGAGTTCGTTTCCCTGAATGTCGCAATGGCCTACCCAGACAACGTGCGTACTGAATGTCCCAGCCATCTCGTTGAGAGATCGGCGGCATTGAGCAACTACTTTTGAAGTCAGAGATTTTACTGCCGCCTGGCTGTCAGTGAAGATGTAGATATCATGACTCGGAATCGTATCACACTGGCCCAGTGATGCGGCCTTTGAAATAGCCATCAGTTCCGCCTGAAAAACACTGCAGTAATCAGGGAGGCGGAAGCTGAATGATATGCCTAACTGTTCCGAATAGACCCCACATCTACTCTTTTTTTTGAGCTTCGATCCGTCCGCGTTGACATGGATGGATCCGCTTTTCCTGACTGTGTGATGCGTCCCTTTATTGGTCGCGGTGAGCCTAATGGCGGTACTACATGCCATCTTTTTTGCATATAGATCCGTCGGGAGAAATGCTAGCAGCGTGTTGAGCGCTTTTGTGGCTGTTGTTTTCATGGCTCTTGTTATCTGTTTAGTATACCTTGAATAAGATTAGTCAGGGTTGCTAAATGTTTACCCGTAGCCGTAATGGCAATATCAACGGCGTGGGCTACCACTCTGCCACCGTTTCTTTCTATTTCTTTCAGCAAACTATCAACGGCAATGTTCCAAAGTAGTGGTAAGAGTACACCCCCCTGGGGAGTTCCCCTTGCCGCGTACTTTTCTGACGGAGGCGTCTCCTAGTTCTGAGTTTATGACCCGATCTCGGAGGAGATTGTTGACAAACGCTATCAGCGTGTTGCACAGACCAAGTTCCTGGAGCGGTGAAATGACTGCGTCCGGACTGATATTATTGAAAGTACGTTCAATGTCCAAGAAGACAGATAGAGCATATTCTTTTTAGTGCAAAGATCTACGCCCTTTCCTTTGTTATACATATACATGTTGGGAAGTAGAGAGATTTGGACCAACTATTTCCCTAATTTGGGGGTCCAATATACGCTCTAGTGACTTCAGAAGGACGAGAGGCTAATTGGGTCTGAACTCATTGGGTTTGGGTGCGAGGATTTACCCGCTTTGGGGATAAATACAAATTTTACCTGCGTCCATCTCTGTGGTTTTTTAGGCGAGGCTGATGGCCGCTCTATAAATAGCCTTTAGTTTTGGAATAACTATATCCATTGTTTTCTGAAGGAATAGGTAGGGGGGACGCGTAGGATACCATCGAGACCGGGTGACTTAAAGGGCGAGAAGCTGCAAATGGCTTCCTTAATGTTCCCATCAGAAATAGTAATAGGAGGGATTTCCCCGTCTGGAGCAGTGATCTGTGAATTGTTCGATCCTCCGGTGTGTGTCGGAACAATCAAGAAAGTGAGTCTGCATTAGCAGCTCAAGCGTTTCGGAGCTGCTACTCATCCATTCATCATTCCCTTTGAGTAGGTCGCTAGGCGCGCTTGGGTTTTTTGAGAGCATCTTGCGTAATCGGTTTGCCTTCGAGTTGCTTTCTATCGTTTGACAAAAAAGTTTCCCAGGAGAAGCGTTTTGCAGCCCTGACAGCATATTTAAATCTGCGTTGGCAGTCCTTGTATTCATTCCACACATTTGACGCTTGATTAAATTTCATCCTGCTTTCTTTCCGTAGGTTCATTATTTCATGCGACCACCATGGTGGTCGTTGCTTTCTCACTTTTGTTTTGGGACACATTCATGTCAGCATCGCTGAATTGTGTCATAATATTTTCCTTTACTAATAAGCAAGACCTTGGTTTACCTTTATCTCTTGTGTAGATCAGCTGATCATCCTTACTGCTAAAGCCGCAAATGCGATCTTTTGTTGACGGCAGAGTCGCCCACTTTTTCGCTTAGAGCGTTGCATAAAACATTTCGAAGTAATTGGCAACTTCGCTCCAAACATAAAATTGTCATAAGTGGGAAGATCCGTTTTTTTTATTTTTTTTTTTTTGTAAATGAAGACCAATCGCGCCGATTTGCCAAAATAGGGAAAAAGTGTAAATAGAGTAGAATCCTGGAACATGCCTGATATGTATTTATTAAAAGTTATCATTGTATTTTAATAATATCGTTGGTTTAGCAGGAGGATACTGAAAAAAAAACTAGCAGCTCGTGCACCGATGGGCAATGTGCATACTATGTTCCTTGCAAGCGGAGTTCAAATACATGGACAACATCAGAATTTAATGCTGACCGGCAACGAGGTTGCAGCAAAGTTATTGCAAAATCGCAAACAGCAAATGTCAATGATGGCAACTTCCAATTCCAGTATCATGCACCACTACCAACAACACTCATCAAATAATGTACGAAAATCCTTTCTGCAAACTATGACATAAATTTATTTATAAAGTTTTTTATTTATTGTAGGCAGCAGCGCGTCTTGGTACGTCGACGACATCTTTAAAAATTTCGCAAGTTAGCCCCTCATCTATATCGACCATATCGGTCGGCAGTACAGTTAGTAGCAATTTGGGATCTCACATCAAGACGACAACGACAACAACACTTCCGTCTCGTACAATCTATAATAGCAATACAATACAACATGAGAATGGTGTGACAACGATTGTGCCCGCTTCTTCTTTAGCTGCTTCGTCACAAACCGCTGCTATGAATGCGCTTGCGCCAAGCACGGTTACTATAACACCAGCACCGACCCATCACTTGGGTGGAGTTGGTGCGGTGACAAGTGCGACAGTGAGTTTGACTAAAAAAATTGCAACATCGAGTGTGGGAGTTAATTTAATTGCTACAGGTAGCAATAATCCAAATAATATGCTGCACACGGTCCCGAATAGTGCCGCACATCATCTAATCAGTCATAACAATGCTCTGCTGCAGCAGCATCATCAACAGCAAATGCAACAACATCACAATACAACAACCAATATGAATCAGAAGATTATTCTCTTGAAAACAACTGGCCATACGAAATATAATAATTTAGGTAGTGTCGGCGGCAACAACAATGGAAATATTATTAAACCAAGCGGCGCAGCAACTATAAACGCGTCGACTGCTAATGCCGGTATATGTAAAAATTGACCAATAAGTTCTCGACAGAGAATGAAGCAGCAACGGATAACTTAAGCGATTTTTTAGCAGGGTTTCTTCGCATATGCACTGAATTGAATGGCTATTCAGTTGCACTTCTAAGCAGATATGTTAACGACTGATGATTGATAACCTAAACCTATCAATTTTCTGTGGAAATCGAAGTAAAGTCAATCCGGCAGTAAAGTAATTTTGAGTGCTGGCAACTGATTCCTTTCTTGAGATCAGTTTGTTTGGATTAACGTAACGTAACGTTCATTTGAACATTTTACCAACGGCGAGCGCGCGAATGTGTCATTAAACCTTTATTTTTTTTATTTTACTTGTACTGAGCAATTTAAAGTTGAAAATACGCGTATGTATTTTTTTTTTGAGAAGATGCCTAATAAGCACCGACATTTTATTGGGTGCTCAAATTTTGGAAGTAAACGAATAGACAACCGCATGTGCAATCATAATCAGCTCTGAGAGGGTTAATGTATGTACGTATATTTTGCCAGTTTGAACCATCTTAAATTTTACTGAATGATTTTTCAACTACGTACATGTTTAAGTATGTAACTATAAATACATACATACGAAAAAACATATTTTCATTATATGTAGAAGTAAACGCACATTACATATAAAAGTTTATAGATGGAATACTAAGTTTAAGGCGATAATGTAGGTATAGAGAAATTGAAATGCCTTTCGGCCTTGTTTGTTGTATTTTGTATATTTTTACTATACTATTAATATAAATACATACTTAATGAACAAGAAAATCTATGGTATATAGTGGAAAAGAAAATTCTATGAGTGTAAGATATTTTATAGCAGTTTTTTAAGTAATTACTTTAGTTTTAGTTTTAATAAAAGGCCGTTCTCTGTACATATATGTAAGTAGTTTTATTTAAAAAATATGTAATTCTAACTCTTAGAATGTAATTTTAGTATCGAATAAAAAGTGTAGAAGTAACACCAAATGTTCTTACCATAAAAAGTTTTATTGTACTGTTCTAAACGGAAAACTCTTTATACATACCTACATACATACATATATTAACTTTTGTAATATTGAAAGTATTTATTGAATAAGCAATCGTCTAAATATTTAAAAAACATAAACAACATACTTACATAAACATATATATGCTTGAGGAAATAAAAAATGCGAACAGTGTATTTCATAAATTATCGATAATCTTGTTCTTGATAGTTGAAGATTAGTTAACAAAAAAAATAGTAGTACATAATTGAAAATTATAAAACACAATTGCATGCTGGCTCAAGTGGTGAAAGAAATCAAAGTCTAAGCGTCGAAGTGTTATCACCCAAAAAAAAAAAAACATCAAAAACATTAAGAATAGTGTTACCTTATCGTAACTAAGCAGGATCGTAACAGCCTATATACATATTGAAAACATAATTATAAAGCTGGAAAGTAAGCAATGAGTCTCCAAATAAAATAAAGATGAACGAAACAAAAGTAATTGTAGATAATTTATATATTTCTTATAGACGCAGATGTCCACTTATTTCGAAAAAGTATAACTTTCGATTATCATTTAAGAACGAGTTTCATTGCAAATGAAGCCTGAAGAATGTCGAAAGCACTTTATTTGTTTTTTTTTCGTTAACATCACTTTTTTGTCGGTATTACTCATAGTCGTCGAGATGGCGTCGACTGTTTATCGATCATTTTGCGACATTTTACGATTGTTTTCGCTTGATTTGATAGACATACATGTCATAACATGAAACCAGTGAGAATCAAATAAAAATGTAAATAACTGTTTCAATTTAAGTTACATAAATACCTATTCGCACAAGCGAATGTCCACTTAACAATGAAAATGTTATGTGGATACCAGTAAAAGTCGTTTTCCAATACCATACAAATTAGCAGCGAACTTTGTGATTTAGGTATTGGAATTTAATCAGAAACCCTTTCAGTTAACTCTCCAGTTTTGTTCGGAACGCTTACTGTCGCAGAAAGCTTTATTGTGAATTTTTAATTTTCATGCTGTGGTATCGCCGTATCCTTCGTATTAACATTTCCGTGAGTGCGATCACTCGCCCCTATTGTGAGTGTCGACTAGTAGGAGATAAACGACATTCAAAGTGGGTGTATAACATAATCCAGACAATCAAAATCCAGAAATTCAAAATGCGGACAATCAAAATACAGACAAATCAAAA